AACATTTTCTAACTTCTTCCAGTTCCATCTAACTTCTTCCAATTGTTTTAGAGCCTCTTTGGGAATAGCGTTAGAGATTAGTGTTAGCATTTTGGATAAATTTTTAACGGTGCATATTACTTTTAAAACGCTAACACTAAACGCTGGCCGTAGGTAGCTTTTTCAAAACACTGACATTAATCTCTAACGCTATCCCCAAATACGCCCTTAATATCCAAATCTGAAATTTCAATTCTTTATTAATATTTTTTCAATCTAATGATGAATAATGAATATCCACCTCCGTTAAAGTCAAACTTGAGTGAAGATCTCACAAGATCTTGGTTAAATGATTCATGATTGCATTCTAAAAAAGAAGTTAAATTCTCTAGTTGATGCATATCAAAATGGAATTTTCTACTTGTACCCGAAAATTGAACTAAAAATATACCAGTACTTTAAAGATTTACACTTATATTGTGTTTCAATTAGTGTGAGATTGAGGAGTTACATTAACAATACAAAATGTTAACGCGAAATTTTGTAACTGTATTAATATTTTGTATCAATATAAACTATTAAAATGTAAGTATAAATTTTTAGGTAATTTTTGATTTATAATCTTTGAGTTATACCTAACATGATTGTCTCAAAAATACCAATGTAGTGACTTTTGAATAGAACTTCTTTTTTCTTTCTATTTTGACTATTTCTCCCATTTGTTGACTGCGTAACATGCTGAGTAAAATATCTTCCAGAGAATGAGGAAGACAATTTAAATGTGACTTGAAAGACTTCTTCACACGCGGAGTAGGATTATATAGTGGGTGTTTCTCTATTCTTTCATGAAAGTAAAACGACTTAAATGATATACTAAGCCACATGTAAATATTCAAAAAATGGTAAGAGACAATTGTGTAAATAATCTAGTCAAAACAGGGAAATCAAAAACATGTCATCAACTGACTTATAAATTAAAATTTTTTATTAAGCAGTTTTGACTGTCTTATAAGCACATAGATACACCCACATACTCTCTCTATGTCAAAAACTTCTTTTCTTTCTTTTTTCCCATTCCAAAATATCTTTCGTTTTTTCTTTGTTTCTAATAATCTACTTATCATTTATTTTTTCAAAAAAAATAATAATAATCTACCGATCATTATTTATTTTAGTTCATCATATGAAGCATAATTTTAAAAAATCAATAAAAAAATTTCTCTTTTATTCCATAAAACTTAAAACAAGAAAGATGTTTACGGACAAGGAGTCCTACACTCCTACCGTCCTACGTAAGAGAATCTTTCCCTTTTTTAATTATTCAAGAATTGCTGCTGTTCTTGTATGGCGGCCGAAACAAAAACATTTAGGAAAATCTCCGTATATACGGAGTAAATTAGGGTTAGTAGCATTGGTACCCCTGTGGTTTACAAAAAGGGCATTAAAACTCTCTCTATTTTCAAAAGTTATTTGTAAAGTTCATGTGGTTTCTAAATAGAGCACACAAACCCCCCTTACCTATTTTTAAAGCAAAAATGACATTTATGCCCTTTGTTTTCTCCGATCTTTAATTTTTCCAATTTTAATTTCCTTTTATTATACAAATATATAAAATAAAATATACGCTTCCCATCTCAAATTAGAATTTTTCATAATGTACTTTTGAAAACACAAGATTTTGTTGGAGAATGTTACAAAAAAATGAAAAATAAAATATTATGTACAAAGTAAAAAGTAATAATAGTTTTAAAAAAAAGGTAATGAAAAGAAATAAAAATATAAAAAAATAGTCTTTTTCTTTAACCCCATATTTTATTTCATCTTTCTGTTCTTCATTTTTTAAAGTGCTTAAAAAATTATTTTACTTTTAAAAAACAAATAAGTTAGAATTTTTAATTAGAGATAGAGTGAGTATATGTTATCCAATTTTTTATTTTATTTATTTTACTTTTAATTATAATGAAAAAGTGTATTTTATTTCATTGTTGTAACATTTTCTAAAAAATTAATTTTTTGAAAATTAAATAAATGAAAAATTTTAATTTGAGAAAGAGGGCGTATATTTTATTTTATTTATTTGTATAACAAAAAATGTAAAGAAAAGAGTGAGATTTGAAGATAGAGAAAAATCAGGGGCAGAAATGTCATTTCATATCTAAAATAGGCAAGAGGGAGTGTTTGTGCACTATTTAAAAACCAGAGGGGTTTTACAAATAACTTTTGAAAGTAGGAGAGGTTTTGGCGCTCCTTTTGTAAACCACAGGGGGCATCCATGCTATTACCCCGAGTAAATTACTTCGTCCATCCTACGGACCTACAATGGTTACCATACTCTAAAGAATATACTCCCTCCGTCCCGGAAAACATGTGAGTTTTGATTTTGAAGGGGATTTAAGGGGAGTATTTTGGTATTGAATTTCCAAAAATGTCCTTTGATGTGATGAGTAAAAGTATGATTTGATGGATAGATTATTAGTAAAAAGGTATGATGTGATATGTAGGGTATGAAAAAATAAGGGTAAAAGTGACTTTTTAATAGAAATGAGAAGTGTTTTTTGGGACGGATGAAAAAAAAGAGAAATGTTTTTTGGGACGGATGAAGTATAAAATTTCATCATTTTTAAATTTATTTTAATTATAAATTGATTTAAAATAAAAATTATAAATTATATTGTTCAAAATACATCAAAACTTCTAACAAAAATACACGAATATTTTGCTTTATCAAAGATTATTGAAAACACACAAACTAACAAAAATTATTAAAAACTATCCTTTTTAGATGGAGGAAAAACTTTCTTTCTTCCGAAAGTTTGGTGGAGTATAATTTGAAGTAAATTTATTAAGAAATCTCTCAAGATAGGAGTAAAAGAATATGAAAAATACCAAAATAGGATTCTTAGGTTTTTTGAAACAAAAATAGAAGTACATGCAATGGCAGTGTGGTCATGTGGTGTAAGAGTATGTATTGGCAGTGTAATGGAAAAGTGATGACAGTGTAATATATCAGTGTGACCAATCAACTGTCGGTGATCCACGACGGCATTCTGGTGGCCGACGACGTAAGATGGCAGTTACAATGTGACAATAAGGTGAGTGTGACAATGTAACAATGACAGTCTGAATTCCTATTTTTTTCTTAAAAAACTTATGATTCATATTTTGCTATTTTCGCAAGTTTTCACTCCTATCTAGAGAGTTATCCTAAATTTATTTCTTCCGCCCTAAAAAAAGATTTTTAATTTTTTGTTTTCGTAATGTCTCATAAAAACACCCTCTTTTTATTGGAAAACTTTTACTCCCTCCGTCCCAAAAAGATTTACACGTTTCAAAAAAATTGCGTCTCACAATCCCTTACCCATTTCTATTAAAAAACCACTGTTACCCCTTACTTTTTCAAACCCTACCTATCACATCATACCTTTTTTCCTAATAATTTACACATCACATCATACTTTTACTCATCACATCAAGGGTATTTTTGGAAAGTCAACACAAAATTATTCCTTTCTTAATTTCTACTTTAGTCAAAACGTACCCATCTTTATGGCCTATGGGACGGAGGGAGTAGTATTTAACAATTTTTCTCTTTCCTCTACATCACTTTCAGCTACACACATTGAAAGTTTGTTCTGATCTCTCGATAACACTTCCTGGTAACTTTTAGTTTTTTGTCTTTTCATTAATTATTTAATAAAATAAATATTCTTATCGTATCTTTTTTTATAGAATTTTTTTTATATAATTTCAAAATATATAAATTTTACTTTTTATTTCCATGTCAGTTTCTGAATAAAATAATTTTAAAATACATGAGATTTTGCACATTACTAAAAACGAGAAAATAATTTTGAGAAGGGGGAGTAATTAATATTTTCTCCGTCCTAAAACGTTCTTCCCGTTTTTATTTATGAGGTTTGACCGACTTTATTTTCATTTTAATTTATTTGATTATATGAGTAAAATTAAAAAATAGAATTTATATATTTAAAAACTAGATCAAAAGTTCTACAAAATAAGAAGTGACAAAACTATATTATTTTACAAATATCTAACGAATTTAAAAAGTTTTTAATGTTTGACCGTACGAATAGTAATTGAAAAAAATGTTTTGACGGAAAACGAAAACTGTAAGGTTAAATATTCCTCAATCCTCACAGAGTTCCTAAGTAATCTCTCCGAGTAGAGAGAAACAGCATATTCTAAACCATTTTTAACAATTTTTCTTTGGCGAAATTGACAAGAATACTCTTAGAAATTACAGATTTTACATAAATACTCCTAAATTTGTTTATTTACATCATTACTCCCACATTTTTCTTTTATTTACATCATTGCTCCCAAATTTGGTAGTGATCATTAGTGTTACTTGGATGCGTTTTTTTGCGATAAGTGAGCAGTTAAAATGCAAACATGTTTTTTTTCACTCTAATATACCAAATTTATCTCAACTTATTCTCTCCATCGACTTTCTCACGTCTTAATAAGCCTAATCATTGCTCTTATTTTCATCACTTTTTAAAAAAATTCAGATTTTAAACTTTTTAAATCTTTTTAATGTTTAATATCAAGTCTGTTCATATTAATTTAATTTGAATTCAATAAAAAAGATGAAGAACCCCATTTAAAAAGACGCACCCGAGGAACATTGATGATGAAGCAATCGCGGAGTAATGACGTGAATAATAGACAAATGTGGGAGTAACTATGTAAATAAACAAATTTGGGAGTATTTATGTAAAACCTGAAATTTCTGGGAGTATTCTTGTGAATTTTTCCTTTTTCTTTTTTTAAACTTTTAAGTTGTAACTTTCAAGAAATTAATTTTCTTGAAGTCGATGCTGTCAAAAGTGGCTTTATTTTGCAACAGAGAAAGTATGATTTTAAAAAAACTTTGGATTTTTGAGGTACTAATTATTGGGGAGCAAACCTACCGTCCCACGTTGGAGGTTTGGAAAAGATTGACTTAGGGGCTGTTTGGCAACTTCTGAATAGGTAAGTGCTGAATCAATAAGAGGTCTGAACCATTAAGTGCTGAACCAGTAAGAGGTCTGAACCATTAAGAGCTAGTATATTGCTTAACTATTCAGAGGCAAATGTCTGATCAATTCAGATAAGAGGTCTTAACCATTCAGACTCTGTATAATACTTAACCATTCAGAGGTAAATCTCTTAACCATTCAGACATCTGAACCATTAAGAGGCTGAAACAAACAGTCTGAACCATTAAGTGTTGAACCATTCAGACATCTGAACCATTAAGAGACTGAAACAAACAGCCCCTTCAACATAATTACTCATTTTTCATTTGAGATGATTTGAAACAGGATGAAGATTTGTGCTTCCATTATCTTAAGATTTACATGTGAAACGTGAATATTCTTATGTTTTGAATGAACCCGTATGAGAATTTTTTGTTTTTTTCCAAAGAGCTCAATTCATCCATTGTGTTTATATACTAAGATCCATAAAATGAGTGTGGATCACATCTTAAGATCACAGAAGAATTTGCTTAAAATGAAAAATATCATTTCAATATGGAGTTTAATTACTTGAAGAGTATGGATAAAAGAATTATACCTCGATAGGAGTAAAAAAGTATGTAAATATCGAAATAGGAATTCTAAATCTTTTAAAACTAAAATAAAAGTATAATGATAGTGTAGTATTAGAGCACATATTGGCGGCGTGATGGCAGCGTAATATATAAGTATCACCAGTCAACCGTTGGCAATCTGCGGTGGCCCTCCGTGTGACGGCGGTAGTGTGGTAGTTAATAATGTGACAATAAGGTGAGTGTGGCAGTGTAAAAATGACATTGTAGACCCCCGTTTTGGTCTTAAAAGATTTATACTTCTATTTTGGTATTTTCATAATTTTTACCCTATCTAGAGAGTTCTCCCTGATGGTGTAAATATAGCTAGGTGGGTTGACCGGGTTTGACCTAGACACACTCGACCCGTAGTAAAACACACACAACAAGAACACAAAGTATGACCTAGACTGGGTAAATCTCCTCAGTCCGAATTATATTTTTTACTCTGTCTCAAGAGTGCACTTTTAGTGAGATAAAACTTGGATCCCCTCCTCTATCCATAATCATCATACTTATAGAGGAGGATTTGTGACCTTCCCTTGTTCATCTATGGACAAAATAGGAAACTTAGAGGAAGGTCACTGTACATAATGAAATTACTATTCAATCATGGACCTTTCATGTATACAACAAAAGAACATTGTCCAATCAATGACTATGGTGAATATTCCCTATCCAATCAACCCTGCAAGATGACAAACATCCCTTTCACTGTATGCCTCGTGATGGATGAGCGGCGGGGTGGTCCCTCGATCTTTGACGTGGTTCGCCATGCTTAAGAGACCGGACCAATGTTAGCTAAGTAGAAGAATATGACCAATCACCTTTCCTCGAATTGAAGGTCGGCCGGTCATTTCTTGAGCCCAACCCGTCTCTTTGGCCTCCCAGAATGTCCTTCGTAACATTATGTGACATTTTGGCTATCGCCCAAAATGTGACCGGTCACTTTTTTAAGGAAATTGACCGGTCAACTTTCGACCCGTCTCAATCGAAGAGTTTGCCTCATTTTGTAATTGAGGAAAGTGATCGGTCATATTTTGACCTGTCCCTTTCGGAAATTCGGGCCGGGTATAGGGATATACCCATCACTCCCTATAGATAAATTTGATTAATATTTATACCAGAGAGTATATCGGTTACATATTTATTTCCTCTGTTCCATTAACTTCTTCATGTTTTGACTTTTTAAATCAAACACTAATACATTTTGATTATAAATTAAATATTATTTAAATAAATAAATGTTAAATAAATTTGATATATCAAGTTATATTCTAACATGAATCCAATTATATTAAATTTACATCACAATTAAATATATTTTTTATAATTTGTAGTCAAATGGTGCCAATGTTTGACTAAAAAAATCAAAATATGAAAGAGATTTTTGAACGAAGAGAGCATTATCTTAGTTTGATTTTCTTTGGGTCAAAATGTGGCTCTTTAATCACAAAATGAACATATTTTCAAATCAATGTTATGTTGAGTATATATTTGATATATCAAAACTTTGAATCAGTTATTACAATTATAATTAAATGATATCATAGTTTAATTTTAAAGGTTAATTAAATTGGGATGATGTGCCGGGGAACATTACACACTTGGGTGACAATTACTATGAGAAGTAATTATGCTAAGCATAAGATCATTACAAATCAATACCAAATGCAGATTTCATATATTGTCACCAATTTATAAATAAAGCCTAATTTATTTTTTTTGAGATGACTATCTGACCGATTCTATACACGATGAGCTGAGGTTCATCTCCTTGTTAAACTCAGACAATGTTTTGAGACGAATGGGACTATGGGAGTAGTCCGCCTATAAGTTTTCCAAATTACTCCGTAATTGTTAAAGGTGATGCACCAAATCTATCTTTGTTTAGAAACTTTGGCAGATATGAGTGGAAATCAGTGAATAAAGCTAAACATGGTGTCAAATCCCAATCACTTTCATCTGTCCTTTCTGCTGTGAAGAAGACACTATTGATAGTATTTTCTTTTCTTTCGAGGGGCAGATGGCCATTAAAGTTTGGGCCTTTCGCATAAATAAGTGCAATCATTAAGTATTCGTCTCTCCCCCCATTTAGATCTTCTAACAATATTGATTAAATTCTATAATTGATCATTTATAACAGGTGTTTCCCTATTTAGTCCTCTATTATCAAATATTATCCAAGTGGTCCTTCTTTTATGGGTACCTTTCCACAAATAGTCCTTTTTTTGATCTTCTATCATGTTGGTGTTAATTTGAGGGCTAAAAGTGTAATTTCACAATGATAATATATCGTTTTTGTCATACACAATTCCAAAGGCTGTTCCGTTTGCGTCGTTTGTGAATTACAGTCGTTTTTTACGACAACTATAGTCTACAAATGTGATCTTTCGTCAGAATCCTAGCCCACAATCATAGTCATTATTTTGTGTTATCCGCTTAACCAATATCAGAACACGTCACTAGACATAATGTTGACGTCAAATTACATTTTTAGCCTTTAAATTAACACCAACACGACAGAAGATCAAAAAAGACCATTTGTGGAAAGGTACCCTTAAAAAAAGGACTACGGGGGTAATATTTGATAATAGAGGACTAAATATGGAAACCCCCCCTGTTATAATTTATAAAGGACCAATTATGGAATTTACTCAACAATATTACTCTCGCCCGTAAGCGTTGCGCAATTGAACGGAAGGTTATAAGATACTCCCTTCGTCCCTAAATAAACTTTTCTTTTTGACTTTTTGAGGATTTAAGGGAGGAATAATTTGGTGTTGACTTTCCAAAAATACCCTTGATGTGATGTGTAAAAGGTAAGATGTGATATGTAGATTATTAGTAAAAAGGTATGATGTGATAGGTAGGGTATGAAAAAAGTAAGGGGTAAAAGAAAAGTCAACACCAAAATATTCCTCCCTTAAATCCTCAAAAAGTAAGGGTAAAAGGGGTTTTTTAATAAATACAAATGTAGGTAAAACATTAATATTTGTCAAAATTTTCTGACGTGTTTGGTCTTCGACCACCATCGTTCGATCATATTAGGAAGTATAATTAAATTAGGATAGTTCTTTCCTTTCCTACTAGGATTATTCTTTCCTTTCCTACTTGTACTTTGATTACTCTTGTATTCCCTATATATAGGGCCATATCTCTCAATATTCAATAAGACAAGTTATTATCAAATTGTATCATGGTATCAGAGCTAAGGCTCTCAAAAACCTAGCCTCTCTTTTTTTTCCGACCGCCGCCCATCATGGCAGCCCCGTCAGATCCTTTGGCGTCCTTACCCTCCGGAGTAAAACTTTTGCTTCGGAGTCTCCACAACTTAATCCCATAAAAACTCACCGAAACAAATTATCCGGCATGGTCTCTCAATGTCCAGACAGCTCTTTCAGCTAATCTCCTCCTTGGATGGATTGATGGTCATGAAGGAGCCCTGGCGCCAACTATCTCCAAAAACGATAAAACCGTCCCTAATCCAGAGTATACCTCCTGGACCATCGTTGACACGCAGATCCGCGCCTGCCTCCTAGCGGTCATCAGCCCCTCCGTTCACAAACATGCTCGCGGCTTCACCACATCTGCTGCCCTCTGGGATGCTTTGGCCGCACGGTACAACTCCGTGTCCACCGCTCATGTTTATCAGCTTCGGGACAAACTCCACACTCTTCGTAAAGGTACCAAAACTATGACACAATACCTTGATGATGTGGCAACTATTCTCTCGGATCTCGATGCCTTGAAAGAAGAGNAAAACATTCGCATGAACAATACCAATATTTCGTTAAATCAGCTTTCTGGATGGCTGATCTCCGAAGAAATAAACCTGGAGATGGAGAATAAACTCAGCCTCACCGAGTCTACCATCACCGAACCTCGCACAGCACTTCTCGCTACAAACGGTCGAGTTTGCGGTAGAGGAGGCTACCGCGGTCGACCGTCACCTGGACGTGGATACAACAGCGGACGTGGAGAAAGGAAGGAACAACGGTCGACCGTCCCAGGGAAACGGTCGACTGTCACGGGATCTGCCAACCTGCCAAATCTGCGAGAAACGAGGTCACTCTGCGTCTGCGTGCTGGTATCGATTTGATGATTCTTATACTGCGAACTCCTCCTCCAGTGCTCCCCGTGCAATGCATGCATCTACGAGTAATCATTCTGCAAACTGGTATTTGGACACTGGTGCCAACACCCATGTCACGTCAGATTATTCTCAACTACAATCTCCTCATCAATACACCGGTACTTATGCTATTACCGTAGGCAATGGTCAATCCCTACCCATCACACACGCTGGCTCAGGTTTTGTCCATACTCCTAATGGTAAATACCACCTTTCTACTCTTCATTATGTCCCTCCCCTTATCTCCAATCTATTGTCTGTCCATCGATTTACCAAAGATAACAACTGCACCCTTGTTTTCAATGCCAATGATTTCCAGATAGTGGACAATCCTACCAACCAGGTGCGGTACAAGGGCCTCTGTGAGCATGGGTTATACACACTTCCTTCCAAACTCCCAATCGTTGCGTATCAAGCTATCCAAGAGTCCACTTGGCATCGTAGACTCGGTCATCCCGCTCCTGCGATTGCCAAATCTATTTTGTCTTCCTTAGGTTTTCAGTTTTCAGAGCCTTTACATTGTGAATCATGTTATGTCTCTAAGTCCTGTCGTTTACCTTTTGAATTGTCTGAACATAAGGCCACAACGCCATTTCAATTAATACATTCTGATGTTTGGGGTCCCACCTCTGTTCCTTCCTGTAGCGGTTTTCGATTTTATATCTCTTTTGTTGATGATTTCAGCAAATTTACCTGGATTTATCCCCTAAAACATAAATCTGAAGCTTACTCTGTTTTTGTGAATTTTGAAAAAATGATTAAAACTCAGTTTAATTCTCACATCAAAATTTTTCGAAGTGATAATGGCAAAGAATTTGTAAATAACGCTTTTGGCCTTTTCCTTCAAACTTTAGGAGTCCTTCATCACACCTCTTGTCCCTACACTCCTGAGCAAAATGGGGTCGCTGAACGGAAACACCGTCATCTCATTGAAAC